GAAGTGGTGGTCCCCGAAAGTGACAACGTTGAGTTTCAATTTTTCTTGTTTAAAATGTAAGTACCTTTTCTTCGTGTTTTAAATTAAATTGTGGCTTTTCTTTTTTATCTAAACTTAGTATGTATTTCACACCTCTCTCCCCCTCGCCACTTAGACCAGGGATGGGCAACGTTTTTCTGTGTAAGGGCCGCATTTCAAAACTTTTGAACTAACGCCGGCCACATATAAGATAAAAGAGGGAGGGAAATGCCGGTAAATCACAATTATTTATTCATATATAATTATAAAATAGAATAGGTATACTTAATTTAGCTTCTAGAACTGATGTAAACGTAATGTATCAAAAATATTTGATTAAATATTAGTCACTGCTAGTTTTAAATTAGTTTCGAGGTGAGTCTGTTAGCCGGTTTCTCGTTTTAATTTTCACTAAATTCATTGCAGGAAAAACTATTCACACACATAAGTTGTAGAAAATAACGTTTGAATTTTTGCTGCATACTTCTTAAGCTAGCAAATTGATATATTTATACACATTTTATGCGATTCGGGCCGCGGAATGACCATCCCTGACTTAGGCTATGCCTACGACAACGAGTCGATCGCGACACATTTTTAAGATAAAAAGTAGATCTTATGTACACAAAATTTGGCCACCCCTGCAATATAAAGATGAAAACTTCGCCATGACTGTATGAGCAGTAAGCATTATCAATGTAGACAGGAGTAATTTCACAGGAGTAATAATAATGTTACATTTAAAGAATAATTTGCCTAGATCCCAATCGATATTTGTGCATGGGCTGTCATTTATTAAAGGATGAAATAGATAAAATTAACAATGACATCTGGCTGCATCATATGTGCATCACCACTTATGCTCCATATGTGTAAGGTAACACACCTCCTATGTAACTGCTCCCTGCATCTTGTAGAAATGCCTGAACCTGCAACTCTGATGTCTTAATTAATAAAATGTTTAAAAAACAAAGAATTATTTTAAATCAATGGTGTTGATTGACTACATGCGAGACGGATATTTGGAAAAAAGGTTATATAATAGAAAAATTTTAAAAACTTTTCAAAATATATAAGATAATAATTGAATATAGTTGTCTGAAGTGTAAAAAACTGTAAAAGAACATTCTGTTTTTATGAAAAGAGCGACTAATGATTTCCAGTAGTGTGCAAATTCATCAAATAAAGTGGACCAAATGTAAACAAAAACAGTTTCTACTAATTGTAAAAGCTTTTATATGTGTAACAAAATTATATTTATATTTTATTTTTGAATCTACTTAACTTACTAGTCATCAGTAGGGTAAAACTACTACCGTCGTTAGACTGTCCTGAGACAGGTTAGTTTTACTCTATTGATGACTAGTCGTTGCGATAGTAATCCTGCTCAGTACGAGAGGAACCGCAGGTTCGGACACTTGGTACATGTTCTTGGTCGAGCGGCTAGTGGTGCGAAGCTACCATCCGTGGGATTATGACTGAACGCCTCTAAGTCAAAATTTCCCCTAGCCGTGGCAATGGTATCAACTAAATAAAGATGGAATACCTCCAAGTGTTGAAATAGTAACACACCTCGTGTTAGTGAATCAAAAATATAGTAACTGTTGAATAAAGAATAGTACATAAATGAATAAAGAAACCTAAGTCGCAAGAATCTCATTAATCCATTTAAAATATTTTCATTTATTGAAGTGGAGAAGTAAGCAATTTACATCTATTTACAAGTATATAAAGTGCGTAAACATAGTTTATGTTATATTAATTAAAATCATAAAATCATTAATGTCTACCATTATAAAAAATCAATTTAGTCAAAAGTTATTTAAGAAGTCTGTTTATTTTATCATACAAATACCATTTGTAAGCTGAAATAGAAATCTTTCCTAAATTTTGGTACGGACCTGCATAATGTGACTGCAATGGTTTCGTATAACATTAAAATTGCAAACCGAATAATAATCAACCAAACGCTCTCCTTAATAAATCAAGCTATAAATTTGCTATTATTATAGCGTAAGTATTAAGTAATTCGATATTAGAGGCAGATGTTAGGCGCTTCTAAATTCCTCTAAATCGAAAAAAGTAAAAAAATAGAAGGGAAGATTTCTTGAATGTATGTGTTGGCGTCTATTTCCTTTAATATCTCAGGATGGGGTAAAGATGAAGAAAAGAAATTTCGCATGTGTGTATAAGGAGTATTGATTCTATTAAATTTTGGCGGTTAAAGGTCGAGGCATGAGGAAATAGCGGGGTGTGATGTGTCATATCTCTAGAGTCAGACTTGATAAAGATTTTATTCGTTATTACCGTAGCGTTTACAATTTCTTTCATATACTACTCACATTTACTCTCAAAAATAAGATTTTGTCATCAGATAATAAGTAATAATATTAAAAGTTTTTGTAATAAAATCTCGGCGCCACTCTCAAATTTATTACGATTAACTAGAAATTATCTCGTCAAACATGATCAAAGTGAGATCACAGACGTCACTGCAACGTAGATGCGATCACAGATCCGAAATTGATAAAATGCTTATTCTATAGCTAATATTTTTGCAAAATAAATATACATTCTGTCAGTACATAAAATAAATATAAGCACATTTCATCTGAATTGGGCAAAAATTGCAGGAGTTATAAAGAATTCACACATACACACACATACACAGAAGACGGCCTTTATAAAATTATTAAAAATAATATAAAAGCGATTTTGTAAATAAAATCTATTAATTAACAGCCGGAAAAGTTACGCAACTCGTTGCTGAATTTTTTCATTCAGCAACGAGTTGCGTATTTAACGAATAAATGAAAAATGCCTCATTCAAATTTAATTTTAATAACTACTGAAAAATACATCGTACATAGTTCATTTGATGTGCCCATTTGTGTTGTGATATCAATTACTATCACTTCAACAGAACTACTTCACTTTTAATGCTCTAATCTGTACGAAAAAAACAAATATCGACAGAAAGAAACTGAAGACCTATGAAAAATTTGAAAATAAAAATTTTAGTTATTATTGATATATAAAGAATAAGACGTAGATGTATCTTTCTTACCTTAAATATGGTTTCATTAGTCACCGGCACATTCTGAAATATGACAAAAGCAAATGGCGGAGTTGTTTGCTTTATTGTATGAAGTACCTTAAAATAGGAAAATATTAACAATTTAGTAAAATTTGATTGTTATAGCAAAGACAATATTTGAAAGTGAAGAGTATTCATAGACAAATTTTTTTTACACAGTAGAAGCGATCTATTATAGTAAGTATAATTTGTAATTCTAATCTTCCGACAGTCGGTACTATGGAAGAGGTTTTAACAACTCAACGCAATTAGACAGGAAAGTCCCTTTAAAAAGTCTATTTCATAAGATCTCGCAATGAAATACTTTTTGACGAAACTAAAACTCTCAAAAAATTAAATACAAATAATATTAAGAAACACAGCATGTAAAACAGATAAAAAGTAACTTTAGAAGCAGTTATGAAAACTAACAAATATGTTAAATATGGAGTTTATTTAAACATAAATAATCTGTCAAAACTTTTAGTTTATATCAAATTTATAAGTTTATTAACTAAAAATTTAAAACTTAGCAAAATTTTCTCAAAATCTGTTTGGGTTAATTTTAACTGGAGATGGACAAATATCCCTTTTTTGAATTCGAATATTAACCAGATTTTGAATACTCTAATACTTAATGAACTTAATTACCTTATATAACTTATTTAATTAATAATTTATTTAATATTTATTATTTAACTTGTTTTATTTATCTTTATATGCTAATAAATTAACAAAGTAAAACGAAAAATAAAAAGAAAAAATTTACTAAATGTTAAGAAATTAAACGTCCAACTTTTAATTTTCAATTTTGAAGAAGCGTTTTTGAATACTCTTATCTCAAATATATTAACAAATAATTGCTTTTATTCTCATCTACAACAGATTTTTATTTAAGATAACAAGAATTTGAAAATGTTCAGGTTTTGATCTGTTTCTTTTCTTGTTACAAATTAAACCAGAGGTGCTGAAGACAATGTCTGTAAGCAATAGCGGATACAAAGGGATACCATTCTCATATAAAACAAAAGTTAAAATCTATTTGTTCGAACTTCAAAAGGATGTTTTTAAAACATCTATGATTATAAATACAGTATAGTTTATCGGACCGTTTACGTTATACAATCGTCATGTACAATACAATACGTATTAATAAAAGGGGCTAATTAATTATTCAAATATATGTAATTTTTGAATTATATCCCTTTGTATACTTCTGGATTCGCCACTTTACTTATAGCGCGATAATGGAGGTATTCTTATGATTCAAATTTTTATGAATGTATAATATTTGAGATCTGGAATATCGAATAGTTTCTGGTATCGCGAATAGTATTCGTCCACCTCTAATTTTAACGTAATGCAGAATTAAACATTGTATTCAACTTATCAGCACCCTACGGATAATGGTAAGCCGGGTTTTACACAAAAGCATAATTAAAAAATCGGATATTATTATAGGTATGAGTTGGAACACAATGCCGAAGTTTCCTATCTGATTGCATTCATTTTTAAAATTGAGGATGATGATATGTAATATTCTGTATAGTTGCCAGATATATAGAGCATTCATCCGACTGCAAATATATATATATATATGAAATTTTTAATATAGGAAAATTCATATTACAGAATGTAAAAATCCTAAAAATTATTCATAAAATAGTATGACAATGCAAGATTTGTAGCTTGAAGTGAAACATGTTTTAATCAGTCAATTCTTAGCATACCAAAATATGAGAGTATTATTTGGATTGAAATTTGTCTAACTGAATATTTCGGTTAGCATTTGCATCTTAATTTCTTGTTGAAATTTTATCTTAAATTTACCATAAAATACTAAACGTACGTAGTTGAATATCTAATATATTAAAGCGAAAAACTGGGCGTATCACGGTACGCCAAAAACGGCCACCCCAAGCTATTATTTAAATTAACAATAAGTACAGTATATTATTATTTTATACGACTTTTTGCATTTTTGGCTGCGTTTTAGTAGGGTACGCCATGAGAAATTCAATATAATAATATTTTTATTTGTAATAGGAATTTATTATTTATACCATTGAATGACACCGCTGCTGCTAGAACGCCCACTTAGGAGTGTCCAGCTTCTAGTCCAGCTACTGGACTAGAAGGATTAGAAGTACGTAATAATCTAATAATCTTAATCTTTGTTGTTGTTTTTTGACTTGGCAACTCCGGGTATCTGTTGTGTATATATAAATGTTGAATTAAAAATATAAATAATAACAAATAGTAATTTACCGTATTTCACTATTTCAGAGGAACTGGTACATCTTGACTAGTAAACGAGAAAAAAACTGAAATTTTAATAGCTAGAATGAGGAAAAATGGAACATATAAGGGTTTTCTGCTTGTAAAAACATTTAACTACACTTTTCAAACTTAAAACATCTTTTTGATGCATATGCCAACTAAATTTTAAAAAAAATCAAAACCATGCACTTATTCTTAAAATAATTACTGTATTTCATATTAAAAATATTGAGTATGTGTTCCATTGTGCCTCACTGTGTGAGGTAGTTTGAAACAGTGCGCAGTTGATGGTAGGAGCTAGATGGAACAACCATCAATAACAACAGTAAAATGAAAGCTTTTATTTATTATTCTTATTATTGTATGGAATTATGTAAAGTTTTTGTAATCACCTGATTTCCACCAGAAGGATAGCATTCAATTTTACATTTATAAGCACGACTTTTCGATCAGATCACTATTGTCAAGAATCTTGGAACGGTTTTTTATCTATTTACGGGGTGCCGATTTCTACAAAAGAAGGTTATCGTCTATGTACGAGTTTATTATTATTTGTGTACTGTGTACTGTTTTAATAGTGTATTGCCGGTCTTTCTTTAAAAAAAGATTTTAGTGTTTTGTCTTCTGCTAGCAATCTCTGACTGGAATAAAAATGATTTAAACAACTACAATTTGTTTATGTTAAAAGAAAATTACTTAAAAACAAAATAATCCTGAGTTTGCTTGTATGCTCCATCACAAAGATGATCTTTAGGAAATTTCAATAAACGTATATTTGAAAGGTGTAAAAATTGTAAACCATAAGCTTTAACTATGTTATGGTTTGCAATTTTAATAAAGCATTGTAAATGTGGCTAAACTTAAAAACTTGATATCTCAATAGAAACCATAGCCCCACAAGCGCCTAAAAACCAATTCATTTGCCTTCTATAAAAAGTGAATAAATCAGGTTTTTAACTGAATGAAAGACAACTGCCTGAAAAATGCTCCCACAAGTATGGTGATTTCCAGAATCTTGTCACATTAATGATTTCCAAAGACGTTTGCTTACAGTATACCATATTACTCGGTTTTCCATGTATTCCCATTTTATCCTATACACTATCTTTTTTGTAAACAATTAAACTGTTTGGTTTGCCATCACGATTATAAAATTATAATTGCAAATTTTTAAATAAAAATATTTAAATATAATCAGTTACAAATATAAATTTATACAAACTTACCCCAAAGGAATCTTTAAAGTGTACATTAGGAATACTTGCTAACAAAAATCTGTTATATTTCTTTCCCTAAAAAAGCTATATTAGAAAAAACATAACTTTTCAAATATATTTTATCCTTAACTCACCTGTTTGTGCAACAAGCAAATTATTTTCAAGGTCGAGTACAAAGAAAACAATACGATGATAATCGCCTCAACGCAAAGTTCTAAATTTGTTCTCGAAAATATAACGAAGAATGATTGATATAATAAAAATATTGCAAGGCAAAAATAAATTGATATTCCAAAAGTAAGAATCGGCGAAACAATTTGTTGTAATTTATCAATTGACTTCAATACTATGTGATAAACTTCTAGAATCTCGGAAATAGAAAATTTAATTGATTCTTTTGTGTTTCTGTCTAATTGTTCCATAACTTCATCTAATATTAAGCAAAATATTTTAACAATAAAAATAACAAAAGCAAATGACAAATAATTAATGCTCTTCCCAAAAATAATGACTAATGTATCGAATATTGACCGAAATACATCGTGTAGCAAATCGTAATCAACTTCCAATGGCGAATCGAATACTTCAAGTATGGCAACTGCGACATCATTTAGTATTGAAAAAACTCCCATTATAAAATATAGAGGCATCCAAAAATTGACAGTACGAATTAATTTATGTCTAATTTTTCTTCTGCATGCAACAAAGTATTTTAATTGTTTACATTTTCTCATAAGTAGAGTTATTGTATATGCTATATCTTTGTTTATAAAGTAACATAGATTTAAAATAAGGTACAAGTACCAGAACAGATTAAATGAAATCTTAAGAATAAAATACTCATTAAAATTTTTTACATTATCTGTTGTGTAGTATTTCTTCTGCGTTTCGATAATATATGCGAGTATTCTCAAATCTTTGTAAAAAGCTAAAATAAAAAGAACAATAACCAACACACTGTAAATCTTAAGAATAACTTTCTGACAAAACGAAACTTTTGAACAATAATTTGAATATAATCCAAATATATTCATGCAACCCAAGATTAATTTTAAGATACCATGAAACAGATCAATCATTATGAGATATTACTTATCAGATTTTTTAATTTAGAATTTTATGAATATTGAATTTAGATAATTTTTTCAGTAATTTATCTTAGTATGCTCAGTTGAATGTCTCGCTAACTTATAAACAATCTGTGACAGGTTAAATGGTAATACGTTTATGGATACGTTCAAGACCAATTTATATTATCTGAGTATTCACAATTTCATTATTCCTGAAATCTCCGGAATTTTACGTTTCTTTAAAATAATGAGCGATTAAAATATTTGAAATGATTATGTCAGAAGAGTAATGCAATGCAAATGCACTTTATTGCGAAAACATAATGGAAAGGCATTATCATAATTTTTATTATTATTAATAATGCATGTACTGTACATGCTTCCCCTAAAAGCCTCATTAGCTTAGCTAGATGCCTCTTTATTATTAGAATGACTTGTCAAATAAATTATAAATAGCTCTTGTATATTAAGGATACAACGGTAGACCATAAATGAGACAAATATTTGTTAG